ATTGGTCATGTGATAGAATTTTATGGTCTTAGATATATGGTAATGTTCATAACTGCACATACATAGATCAACACAGGAAGACCAACCTGGAACCATTTTGATTCCTAAACTGACCAAATCCTTTCTCTGCAAGGTTAAACTGGAAAAGCCTCCCCATTGTCTCTTTCCTCACAAATCCTGTCTCAAGGATATGTCTGTTTGAATAAGGTGTGAGCCTGTGACCTGGCCCAGGAAATAAGTATTTTACCACTACAAAAGAATGGCCAGGCTCCCCAGGCAATCCAATCAAGTAACTTGCCAGACAGGAGATAAACTGTGACAGGAGAAAAACAACATTTAAATTTCTGTGATGTAGGTGGGATGTATCTGAGGGGTGGTCTTAGGTTACACCCCTTCTGTGATGTATGCATAATGTTTCTGGGGGTGGTCTTGATCTAGAGAATGGGAATTTCAAAAGTCTTTATAAGTCCTTGCACGGCATTTTGGGGGGTCCTCTAGTGTGGTGTAGCGGTTAAGAGCGGTAGTCTCGTAATCTGGGGAACCGGGTTCGCGTCTCCGCTCCTCCACATGCAGCTGCTGGGTGACCTTGGGCCAGTCACACTTCTTTGAAGTCTCTCAGCCCCACTCACCCCACAGAGTGTTTGTTGTGGGGGAGGAAGGGAAAGGAGAATGTTAGCCGCTTTGAGACTCCTTCGGCTAATGAAAAAGCGGGATATCAAATCCAAACTCTTCTTCTCTCCTGCGTGTGAGGGGAGCACCCTGTTGCAACAGATCAATAAAGATCAGGCTTACTAGCTGCTTTGCTTCTCAATATTCTCTGGTTGGCCTCTGTTATTTTCTCCTACCAGTAGGGAACCTATGTAAGGACTCTATATGGGCTCTTGGATACCCCATAAGGGAAAAGGGCATATTTTTATTTACAACAGTCACCAGAGCTCTAGAAGGCCTGGGATCCCCTATACTTGGATCATTCCATGCTTGTGAGAGAAGCAGGAAAGCATGTAAGTAGGATTTCTTTCAGCATATCCTCTTAATTGAGGGTCCGCGTTGCGCACAGGCCATAGGTGCAGCCCCCCCTTCCTTGAGAGGGGTGGGGGAGGAGCTGAGCCACGATCCCACGTGGGGGTCCCACGATCACACCATGGCCTGCTGGCCAATCGGGAGTGGTGGTGTGATCGAGGGGGGCCTTTAAAAGGCAGCTGTGCGGCATTGGGGGGGGGTTTACCTGGGTTTGCACCGCCAAACACCCGCCCTAGATTTAGGTGTGTGCTTTGGCCTTGCTCTGGACTTCGGTTGGTCGCCGGTTTTGGAATGGGGGCCGTGTAGGAATAATTTCCATTTGGCAAATTGGCACTGGCCTCTTGGTTTTCGCCTACCTCTTAGCAATCGTCACAACTTTGTAAGGTTTGGCAGTTAGGCATTGGCTTAGTGAAATGTGGGGGAGGGGAGGTGCGTCCATCACCTGCCCCTCCAGGTACAAGGGTATTCCAGTAAAGGAATCCGCGGGTCCAGATCTCGTCCAAAGTCTGCTTGGGAGGCTAGGGCCATGCCAGGACCCAACGGGAACCCTGGGGTGAGTTTCAGTTGGTCACCATTGATGGAGCTCCCTCTGTTGGTGGTTTACCCTTCCAGACTTCCTGCAAGGCGGGCAGGAGTCAGATATAGTTATTAAGGTAAAGGTAAAGGGACCCCTGACCATTATGTCCAGTCGTGACCGACTCTGGGATTGCGGCGCTCATCTCGCTTTATTGGCCGAGGGGGCCGGCGTACAGCTTCCGGGTCATGTGGCCAGCATGACAAAGCCGCTTCTGGCGAACCAGAGCAGCACACGGAAACGCCATTTACCTTCCCGCTGGAGCGGTACATATTTATCTACTTGCACTTTGTGCTTTCGGCTTTCGAACTGCTAGGTTGGCAGGAGCTAGGACCGAGCAACGGGAGCTCACCCCGTCGCAGGGATTCGAACTGCCGACCTTCTGATCGGCAAGTCCTAGGCTCTGTGGTTTAACCCACAGCGCCACCTGCGCCCCTGATATAGTTATTGCCAATGCCTAATTTCAGGGGCCTAATCCGGTTTAATCTGGCCCCTGTGTCAGTTTATTTCCTATGGTAAAATCCTTTAAAAAAACCTCAACAACTTAAACCCTAAAAAAAGCTCAACAACGTCTTTGGTTGGCCCTTTGGTCGGCCCTTCACTTCATCAAATCTGGACCTCTTTGAAAAAAGTTTGGACACCACTGGCCTAAGCCAATACCACTCACATTGCTGTAATCAATAAAGTTGTGGCCTAAATTCTGCCCATTAACCTTTAAACTAAAATTCTGTCTCAATATGTTCTTATTATTCTTGGGGGGTGCGCCAGGGCCTTGATGCGCAACTGAATTCTGTGGTGATAGTGAGCTTAGAGGCGTGAATGCAAAAACCAGTTTAGGGACGTAGATCAGGAGAGGACGAACTGTGAGCCCCATTTCTCACATTTTCCTCTTTCCTTTTTAGGAAAGACTGCGAAGACTGCGAAGAGCGATTTCGCAGAGGGCGAAAAAAAATAAAGTGTGCCCTCTCCCCGAGTCCTCCCCCCTGCCCCCCCCACTCCCCCTGTGGACCCCTGTTTGAAAAGACTAGGAAGGTAAAACGTTTTTACCTTATAGTAGTTGATTCCAGTCCCTAATATTTCTTAGGAAAGGTCTTTGTCTGAGGCCTATTTTGAGCTTTAGATCATCATATCCCATGTGGCTCTTTGTTTCCCTGTAGGCTCCACGTACTTCCTTGCCGCCTCAGGCGAAAGAGAAAGGAAGTCATCCGGAAGGTAATGTCTATTTCTATGTATGTGTTCAGAAAGTCTCTCTCCCTGTGTGTAAGAAAGCCTCCCTAACTGGCAGCCTTCTCTTCTTTTCCTTTCAGAAGAGCTCATCATCGAAGATATTGAAGACCTGGAGGAAGAACAGTAAGAGACTGTGCTGCATTGGAGCAGCTTTATCAATTGTTAACAGTTCTTGGCTGTTGTCAAGTTTTGCTTTTGTGTCTTTCCTTGAAGGTGAAAGCAAGCAAGCAATAGACTTTATTTGCGTAGCCGACAGGCCATAGCATCAAAGGACAAACACATATAAATATAACCTCGGGGGGATGGTCAGGACAGGGAGAAAGATAATAATAACCAGATGCAGATAAATTAATAATCTCAGTACCTAAAACTTGGCAGAGGTAATAAAATAATAATAATAAAACATAATGATAATAATAATAAGATCCTAGGCGAGGAATCCGGGTGACGACACTGATGTCATTCAGATAGCAGCTCTCAGTCTCATTGCTCTCTCGATAAATTTGGCAACCTTCTCTGTTGTCGAGCTGTTCTGGTCGGCTAGGAGTGAGAACAATTTGGCTTCACAAGAGCGACCCGGGATGGCATATAGGAGCGGCATGATGGTCTCGTCCCTGAGATCTTTATATAGGGAGCAAGACAAGAGAACGTGTGACACAGTCTCCACGTAGCCAGCTCCACAGGGGCAGAGCCGGTTCTCGAATGAAATATTTTGATATCTACCTTCAAGAACAGCTGAGGGTAACATATTTAGTCTGGCCAGTGTAAAGGCCCACCTGAGTTTTGGAATGGTTAAGGTAGACAAATAAGGTGCCCGAGAATCAAAGTGGGAGGGGGGCAGATAAGCGTACCAAGCACTAAATTTCTTAATATGGGCCAGATTATTCTGTTGCTCAATATCCTTCATGCGCTGGTCAATGATGGTTTTTGCCTTGGGGAGACCCATTTTCAGGAGATGCTGTGCTTGGAGGCCACATGTAAGTAGTTTTTGATGCACTACTTTGGACCACCTACTTCTATGGGCATCTCGTGCTACTAGAGGTAGTAGTCCGGATGGGTTTAAATTTAAGCGAAGCCAATAGTTGAATGTTCCTAACCAGGTTCGGATTTTGATGGAGAGGAGGCCAGTCTCCAGCTGTAGGGCCGTATTTGGTGTGCATGGTGGAACGGCTAGAATCTGTCTTAAGAATTTAGACTGGACCGTTTCAAGTGTGTGGCAATGATTTCCCGTCCAGATTTGGGCCCCGTAGAGTAATTGCGCCAAGGGTTTTGCTTGAAAGACCTCCAGAGCTGCTGGAATGTGTCTGCCCCCCTTCGTAAAGTAAAAGCGAGACAGTATTTTGGCGCTTTGAGATGCTTTTTCCCTAGCATATTTATGATGGGCCTCCCAGGCCCCTGTTGACTGAAAAACTACTCCGAGGTATTTGAAAATTTTGTCCTGTTCTATTGGCTGATTGTCCATCTCCCATCTGTGATGTCTGTGTCTCCTAGCGAAGACCATGACTTTGGTTTTTTTGGTGATTAACCACCAGTTGATCTCTCCTGCAGTAGGCTGAGAATTCTCTTAGTAGCCTTTTGAGGCCTACTTTAGTTCGTGATAAGAGAACCGCGTCGTCCGAAGGTGAAAGCTTGCGGAGATGAAGATGTAGCTCAGCGTTGTCTCGCTGCCCTCTCAGCAGCCACCGCCCCAGGCCAAGGCAATTTGCTGGGCCCAGCAGTGGAAGCAGCACGTGCCAGGTACTGGGGGAAAGGCTGTGCATTTAACCAAAGGGTGGTTCAGAGCATCTCTCCCGGGCTCTGCACTAACTCCCTGTGGCCCTGCTCTGGCAGCGCATAAGGAATGTCCATGTGGGTGACTAGAGAGATGTTTTGGATTGTTAAGCTGTAGGTTGACATAGCAGACGACACAGCGATTTCTCCAAAGCAGCTCTTTATTTTGTAAGCTGGAACAGAACTGAACAGCAAACAGCTCAGCCGGCCTGCTTTTATAGGCAGCCAGCTGTCAACAATGTAGCAACAACAACCCAGGGTTTCCCGCCTAAAATAATTGACGTGGACCTGAGTGAAAACTACATACACAATACTCCTGGTGGCCAGGGCGAGAACTTCAATACATAACATGGAGGGTGGAAAGGCCCAGATTTAAAAGGCATTTAGCTGTGAACCTCACTATGGGAAGTCAGTCTCTCAGCCTGATTTCCTTCACTGAGGGGCAAAGGGGTGGGAATTATGAGGCTAAATCATCACTGAGTTCTTTGCAGGAAAACTGGGAGAAAAAGACAACAATTTTTTAAATAAAACCTGAATAAATATCTAAGGGAGGAGGGAAGCCAGAAGCAGCCACAACACATATTTTGCTCCTTTATATTCTCAGATGGGGCGCTGCTGAGACTGCTGCATGAGCCAGAGGTGTGCTTAGTTTGTACTAGAAGTTGGCTTTTAGTAGTGTAGCTCCAGCCCTCTGGAATCCATTCCCAGCTGGAATTAGACAGGTACCTAGCATCATAATGTTTAGGTGTCTTCTTCAAGATATTTTATTTAGGAAAACTCTCCCTAATGTGTGACCCAGTAATTCATCTGTAGGAATGGTTTCATTTATTTTTTGAATATATTATTTTTGTATTTTATATTTTTGTACACAGCTTTGAGGGCCTCGGGCTTTCAAGCAATTTATAAATTGGTAAAATAAATTTTAAAAAATTATGTGCACCTATTGTTTCAATTTCCTGTTCGCACCAAAGTTAACAACCAGAATATGTTGTACTGGGATGATTTTACAGATTCCCGAGTTGGAGGATGCCGTCGGTACTCTCTGCCGTTCCTCTCTGTACTCTACTTTCTGGGCACCAATATTGTCTAACCTAAATGCCAGTAGCAGCCTTCAGCGGTGCATGCTGGTGCCTGGTGTTTTGTTGTCGCTCTTCTCTATGAAAAAAGAAGCGTGGGTCTGCATGCAACGTTAGGTTTTATGCATTCTTCTTTCCCATATTGTTTGACACTTCCTTTGCTTTCTCTTCCTAGACACCCCGTGAAGTGGCCCAGCAGGTGGTAGATGCGGATGTGCATTGCGTGGGTGTGAGCACCTTGGCTGCTGGCCACAAAACGCTTGTTCCTGAACTCCTCAAAGTGTAGCACCCTGCTTGTGGTTAACGCTTAGCTGGAATGAAATATTCAACGCAGCAATAGAGAAATTAAAATAATAATTTATTTGTCAGACAAATAAATGATAGGCACAGTGGTATATGGATACCAAAGCTCTGCCCACTCCAGCCCTGATGGCCAGCACTTATATTTCCTCAGCCCAGCCCCCTTGCTCCTCCTTTGGCTGCCTCTGTCCAATCAGCCTGGTTGAAATTCCTATTGGTTGTTTGCTAGAACCAATCATAAAAGATACACCCATTTCCTATTACCTTTTATGGGAGACAAAGAGCTATATTTCCTTCTATCCATAAATGGCAGACAAGTAGCCATATATCTTACATTTACCTCGACCAGGCACCTTAATTACCAGATAACCTTTGGCCCCTGTTGCCCTATTCACTGCAAAACAGATGGCTAAAGCAGATGGTGCATGGTTTTTAATTTTTATCTTAAAGAGATCTTGGGTTCACCTTCTCACACACCATCTATGAAATAAGAATCTAACATAAGAATCTAACATTTCTTACTTTCTAAATCCTTTGCATAATTACATTTAAGCCAATATATTTCATACATAACATAGATAGATTTTTAGAAGGAAAGGCCTTTTCAAAGTAAAAGGAACTTAGTAAAAGCTAAGTTCTCTAAGTTCTCTGAAGCTTCAAAGCAGCTTCGGAGAGAAGCCTCTTTCCCTAGCCAGCTGCTGTTTCTAAAAGCAACTTCTTCAATTTACCCTTTAACCTTATGAAAATATGGCTCGAGTCTTCTGTTAAACAATAAATTTCACTATTTACCAACTCTTAATTGTGTTTTTGCAGCTTGATTGTATTCTGTAATTTGTATGGTCAGTGTGACCTTTTGCTCCCAGCCTGTAATTTCCTTTTACAACCCTGAAATACTGCTATAGATCAGTGGGGCCCTTGAACAGGAAGATAAACAGCTGCCAGAGTATTCAGCTGGTTTCTGCCTGGCATGAGAGATACAAACATTTACAAATATATTTTTTAAGCTCATTTTAAAATGCAGATCTTGATCAGATGCCTCATAATACAGATCTTGATCAGATGCCTCAAAAGAGCTGCATGCCCACTGGCCGCCCAGACATTCTCCTCATGTGTGGAGGAGTCATCCCTCCCCAGGTACTGTGCACCACCTATTACTAATCCAAAGATGGCTTGTTGTGAGATGATTAAATTGTTCCCAGTGAGGTGGGGTCTCCATCTACTTTCTCCTCCTCCTCCTCCAGGCAAACACCATTGAAAGGCTTTTAAAGTAACATCTAGCTATTGAAATGTGGAAATCCTTCAGCAAATTTTGGAAAGCGTTGTAGTTTATAGGTTGAAAAGCAGCCTCCCAAATTGTTTCTAAAACTGCCAATATAATCAAATAATTTAAAAATCACTTTTTAAATTTAAAAATATTCATAAACATTTTAAGAAATGAATAAAAAAGGGACCAGTTTCCTTTACTGACATAGAAAATATATAAGATTTCTTTTTTCCAGAATTTGCTTTTCTGTTTTGAATCTCTTGACTTTGGTATTATTGTTGCACCTGGCAAAAGATTCATATAGAGCCACAAGTCTCTGGTTGTCTTGAAGCAGAGGTGAAAATGTTCACCACGTTTGATGATTTCATTCTTTATGTTAGATAGGATAACACCTAGAGCAGAGATTGCTTGACCCTGTAGTCACTAGGACTTTGCACACATGGCAGGGTTTGCGTAGGTGAGAGCATCTGTTTTCCCCCATAGCTAGCATACTAAGTTATTTTCCCTTCTCCATGTGCGCTACCTTCTGACCTGCCATCGCAAAACTCTGCTCTTTTAGCATGTGTTCTGCAGAATTTTACTTTACAAAGTTTACATGCATGTTTTATGTGTTTCTCCTGCACAGGATTAAGACTTCCTGTATGACTCAATAGCCTCTGTAGAGTCTGAAGTTGGTGGCCTTATGGGAGATATAGGCAGTCTCCAGTTCTGTG